ACCGTCCAGTTTACCCTACCCCTCCCATCACATACCCACTCAGCTCACCCCAGCGGGAAGCCCTCACGGCGAGGGGGTTCAGCCAAGCACTGTCATTTCTTTAAGCTCTGCCAGTTTCTTGATTCAACCACCACTCACCTCTCGTCTGTCAAGCTAGCTAGCTAGCCACATCCCGTTTTCCTCTCCATGGCTTCTAACGTTGTTTCTAACGATGACGACGAAGCCGGCAAAACACGTGCCGTCTCTCCCCCGAGAACAGGTCTCAGTTTTCTGAAGCCTTTTGCGGTTCCCGTTACCGAGTCTGTCCAGACGCGGGCAGATCCGCCTTCCCTACCCACAACTAGGTCGGTTGCTACGACCCCAGAGCCTGCAGATGCCGGCCCATCCCAAGAACCCACGGAGCCTGGACGGGAGTCGAGTGGCTCAAAGCGCAAGCCAGGTGCCAGTACCGTGCCGCAAAAATGGCGTCAACGGAAGCTCTGCTTTACACGGGAGCCCAGTCCGGTCGACGAGGTGGCTGACAATGACGCCGATAACGAAGATGATGAAGAAGAAGATCTCACGAACTCAGATAAAGATCCTGAGCTTGCGTTTACCAAGGCACACCGACGCTTCAAGAACTCCTGGCAAGGTTTATTCCCGTGGCTTGTGTTGTCTCGCGCTGATGATGGGTTTCCTATTTTACAATGCAGCACCTGCATGGAGTTTGGTGCCGAGAACGCGAACACGGCATACGGCAAGGGCGGTTCTGGTGGACGCGACATGCAGATGCAGAACATATGAATGCATCAACGGTCTACAGCACATCAAGACGTGCATGGGGCAAAGAAGGCGAAGGATAGCCGGAAGTTTCGCCAGGCGATGTTGGACGAGTACGAGGGATTCGACAAGAGCACGCTTCATCTTATCGCGGCGTTAAAAACGATGGTTTTCACGTGCCAATCCAAGGCACCAATCTCTTCCTACATCGGTTTCATCAAGTTCATGTTGGAGATGGGTTGCCCGAACCTCCCGATTGATCAGCGTGGAAGCTACTACTCAAAGCGAGAATCTCATAATGCGTTGATGTGTTAATGTTCGGTTTGTTTACACTCGTATGGCTTCTGACGTATGCATCGTGTACATGCAGGTATGGCTTCGGCGAGTTGATCGAAGCCGCGTCCATGTATCTGCGTCAAGAGCAACTGCAGCACATTGCCCAGAGTCCCTACATCGGCATCGCTCTGGATGAGAGTACCGATAGGGTGCGCGGGAAGCACCTCATCATGTACGTCACGTACCTGAGACTCGATGAGGTCGTGACGGGGTTTCTCTCCCTGCTGACGGTCGAGAAGGCAGACGCCGCAAGTCTTCAAGACGTGCGGCTTACGCATTTGCACGCGATCGGCCTCGACTGCGCGAAAATCGTCTGGATAAGCACTGACGGAGCTTCGGTCCTGACCGGGGAGCACACTGGCCTCGTGGCACGTCTCCGCGCGAAGAACCCTTACCTTGCATCATGTCACTGCATAGCCCATCGGTAGGAAAAGGCATTTGTAACATGAATGTCCTGTGCAATGATTCATGCATCACTTATCTCTCTAATTATTGAATCAGCTAACATGATTGCTTGCCTTTCGCAGAGAGGCGCTTGCCGCCAAGGATGATGCGACCAAGCTGCCGGACTTTGACATCGTTGACAAGGGAGTTCGGACGGTGTCGACGATGTTGTCGCAGAGCTCCAATCACCACAGGCGCTTCCGCCAACTTCAAGAAGTCGTCTGCGAGACGAACCTCGAGTTGCAGGGCATTCATGCCGTGCGTTGGCTATCACGGGGAGAGGCGGTGAAGAGGTTCGCGAAGGTGCTTCCGGCGACTGTTCTCTTGCTGCACGAGAACAAGCATCCGATGTACGAGACCTGCACGTCGTTCAAATTTCACTTTCTAGTCTACTTCCTTGCGGACTTGCTGGCGATCCTGAACGAGTTGAACACCAAATTCCAAAAGCTTCAGGTAATGTTGTTTCTATTTTGCATGCCGTCTCGGTTACCTGAATAAAAATCTCAACGACTAACATTGTTTTGTGTCATTTTTACCTTGGCAGGTGGACATTACAGTCGTCGCGAGTGAGGTCTCACTGGCGTGTCGCACCATCGAAGTTCGTTACATCGACGGTGAGGATTCATTTGGCAACGGACAATCCCCCCTGCTGAATGAATTCCTCAAGAAGCACGCAAATCCGCAGCACCGAGAGGTAACGGTGGAGGGTGTGGACAAGAATGATGCTCCGGCTGTCCACGTGTTCGAACTGCACGAGCGCCCAATCGCAGGTCAAACCAGTAGGGACGACTACTACTCGTGCAAAAAACTCTGCCAGGACTACGCACGGGAGGTGAAGGGACGCCTGGAGTACCGGCTGGAGGATCTGGAACATTTGAATGGCGCCAAGATCTTCCGTCCGGCCATGTACCCGGAGGACAAGAGTCAGCGCATGCGCAATTGTCGCGAGTTGGGCCAGCTCGACAAAATGTTTCGCCACTCACTTCCACGTACAAGTTCAGGATTCTAGTTGTATTGTGCATGTCCATTGCGCTTCCATGAATTGTAGTATTCATTTTCAACGTCGTATTCATTTTCAACTCTTTGACCCCCAACAGGTGTTTCCTGCACACCATGGACAACAACCACGAGGCGTTGAACTTCTACAAATCGCTGACCATGATGCTGTAGTCAACGGATTATGGGGGTGCATACCAGGGCTAATTTTTGGTTTTAAGCAACCCTTATCATCAGTCCTGCACCTTTGCAAAAACCTGATTATCAGTGTGACCCCTTGGGAAATTCTTTTCCATCAGGGTTTTCCGTAGTTACAAAAAAATTACCCTTATGCCACAGTGTAACAATTTTCAATACCCTGATGAAGTGTTTGTACTGAAGTTCTGAACAAAAACGCGAGCTACAAGACTCGATCCCAAGTCTTCATCCTTCCAAAGTCCCAATCCACCGACCAGGCCACTCCAACATGCGTGTTCAAATAACTTCTTTAATCTACCGTAACCCTGAGTCATCAATGTGCCTTAAATGTAAACCCTGGCATATCAGGAAAATTCTAGCTCCCGAAAAAATTACCCTAGGCCATCAGTGTGACTACCAAAAACCACCCTGATAATCAGGGTATCAGGGTGATTTACACTGATAAAATTTGCCCTGGTGCATACCCGAACATGGTGCGATTGTGGCAGGCAGTGGCAGTGCTCCTGTTGAGCACTGTTGAGTGCGAGCGCGGTTTCAGCCGACAAAACCGCATCAAGAGCTAGACACGTACCAGTTTAGGAGATGCACGACTGGGGGATTTGATGACTTGTGCGCTTCTCCCATCGCCAGATGTGAATTGGACGAACTTAGCGGCGCTCTTTCATGGTCTCAAGAAGCGTCGCCCAACTCGAGATTTTGTTAGTGATATTATGTAGGCATGTATGGTAGCCGTGGGTTAGGAATAGTTTAACACCCTAGGAATATTGTTTAGTATAACATTACCGTAGTTCACAGAAAAAAAAAAAAAAGTGATTTTTACCATAACACCGATAAGGAAAAGTAAAATAGTCCTAAACCCTTACCAGAAAAAGTGCATTCTGTGGAACACACTGACAGAAAAAGTACTTAAGAGACGGTGGCCTTACGTGAAAGAGCACCCAGAATCCTAACCAGAGGCCTGACTCGATCACAATGGCATGGTAAATTTGCATAGACATGGAAAGCATTCTTTTGATACCGTAAATGTCCTTGAGGAAAAGTAAACAAAAGCTTGTTGTACATCATATTTTACGGCTTGATCGAGGGCCTCAGTTATCAGGATAATTTATCCTGATTCTCCTGAATTCAGGATAGGTGTCGTGTGCTAGTCCTGGAAAAACAGCATAACAGGAATAATTGTCCTGTAATTTCAGTATAACGTTAATTTTGCGTACTGAAAACTCAGGATAAGGCTGTAGGTTCAGCCCTGATGAGTCAGGATAGTGTCGAATCTCGCTCTGAAGCGAGATGTACTGTACGTCGGGGCCAAATATGTGTTTGGGTGAACACCTCAAATATAGGAGCCAGCGAAGATCGAACAGGAGACCTCTTACGTAACGCATTGTCGCTTTACCCGCTACCACACTTCACCGGTCACGAAATGCAGCACTGAGAATACAGGGTACAACTAAATGTAGCACTGGCATTTCAGGATACCTCACCCTGTGCAGCCCTGACAATTCAGGGCAAATTCTGATTTCCTAAAAATTGCCCTGAGGCCTCAGTGTACCCCCAAACGAATCTGAGGCCCTGATCGAGAAATTTTGTGCGATTTCAGCAAAAACACGTCCCCGATGCTCAAAGTTTTCGAACTCGTCGAAGCTGGCACATGCTGGGCTGAGAAGAATCGTGTCACCTGGAGGAGTGATGTGAGCAAATGGCAGGGGGGGAAAAGGTGGGAGGAGGGGGAACTTGGGCAGAAAGGAGAGGGAGGTAAGTGTGGTAAGAGAAGACTAGATAACTCGTTTATATTGTGGCGCAGCTGAGAATTTTGTGCAAGTAACGGTAACCCAGGCGAGTAGCAGTGGAGGCTACACACGCATGAGCAGTGGCTGCATTGTGACACACTAACGAGAGCAACTGAGGGACCCAGGGTTGTGAGCTGGCTGGGGTTGATTCAGCAATGATAACGAACAAAAGAAAGTTGCTGCAAACACTGACCCGAAACTGCTGTCTCTGCAGCAGCGCTCATGGCTAGCTTGCTCCATGGTGGCGCACTGAATTAGAGCGACCCCAGCTCAGTCTGTGAGCAAGTAGAGCGACCCCAGCTCAGTCTGTGAGCTCTTACAAGTCGACCCTAATGTCATCACAAGTCTCACCAGGGAGAGCAGTCTTGGAAGCAGCATGCCTGGCTTGCTCCATTGTGGTGCAGTGAAAGGGCGGCTGAGAGAGCCCACCCCAGTCTGCATGCTGTTACGAGACGACCCTACTGTCACCACAACACTGACCTGGGAGTGCTGTTTCCGCAGCAACATGCATGGCTTGCTGCATTGTGGTGCACTGAATGAGAGTGACCGAGAGACACGCTGCTGAGAGCTCGTTGGCAATGGACGGGCCTGATTGGCCGAACTGGATGGGAGGGAGGGAGGATGGCATGGGGTTAGAGGAAAACGGATGGAATTAATGAATTAAACAGACTGAACCGTTAACAACCACAGTTCACCATTCAATCGCACAATTCAATCTCAAACTGATCATGGCTCCATGGCAGTTCAGCAGCGGGACGAGCTTGGAGAAGCGAAGGGGCAAAAAGGGTAGCCTTGAGATGTCCCCAAGCTGCACTCGTTATGATCACAAAAAAACCATAATGACTCGAAGTGATGACAGCTTGATGGCAGTTAAGCACTGGGACGAGCTTGGAGAAGCCCAGAGGGGAGGAAAGAGCAGCCTTGAGATGCCTCACTCACATTACACTCGCTCACTATGATTCCAACACCACACACTCACAGTGATCACAGCTCGATGGCGGTTGAGCACAGGAACGAGCTTAAGGTGCCTTGCAGCTACACTCGCTATTATCCAGAAACCACACACTCACGGTGATCACGGCTCGATGGGGGTTGAACACCGGAACAAGCCTGGAGAAGCCCGGAGGGGAAGGAGCTTCCCTGCAAAGAAGCAGCCCTGAGAAGGCTCAAAGCCACACTCGTTATAGCCACCAACATTACACACTCACAGTGATGACAGCGCGATGGCGGTTGAGCACGGGGACAAGCTTGGAGAAGCCCAGAGGGGAGGCGTCAGATGCTCCTCCTTCATCTGTTGCTGCGAGGAACTTTAAGACCTGAGAGCAGATGATGACAGCAACAAAAACAAGACCTGAGACCAAAACAACGCATAAGACGTACACACCACCACCACCACCACCATCACGAACAACGAGTGCCTACAATGAAAGAGGCACATAAGTGCCTACCATCACAATGAACGAACGCAGATATGCTATTCGTTCGCCAGGTGGGCAGGATTGCGGGCAGAGGAGCAGGCAGACAGGCAAGCACCACCAATCCCAGCCAGCGAACCACCCAAACGTTCCGCAGCAAGAGGCAGTCTTTATGAATCAACGGATGAATGAACGGATGAATGAACGGATGAATGAACGGATGAATGAACGGATTGTTAGAAATGTACGTATAGCATGCTAAGTTTAAAAGGGGATGGTGCTACACCCAACTTTGGGTGTAGCTTGCTTTGTAGGTCTACACCAAACTTTGTGGTGTAGACTTGCAAGTTGGGGTGCCAATCCAACCCACAAGTGTTGGAGCCCCCAAGTGCAAGTTGGGTACCCCCTCTTTGCAACCCACAAGTTGGGTGCCCTCTCCTTGCAACCCATATGGTCCTTGTTGCAAGTTGGGTGCCCCCTCCTTGCAAGTTGCAATAGGGACTGCCCAACCACCCAACTTACTCCCTTCCCTTCCAAGCTCCTCTTGCATCCTATGTATTCTCCCTTCTTCCCTAATCAACGAAATCATTCACTTCACAATTTTCACATGGTATAGAGCTAATTTTTCCTAGGCCTTACCTCTCCCCTCTCTCCAGTTTTTTTTCTTTCATGGGCCCACCCTTTCCCACTTAGACGCCGTGGCCTAGACCGCCGCCGTCGCCCCCAATCGCCCGCCATTTCTTCTCCCGCGGGCATTTCGCCCGTCAGTTCTGCTCCCGCGGGCATTTCGCCCGTCAGTTCTGCTCCCGCGGGCATTTCGCCCGTCAGTTCTGCTCCCGCGGGCATTTCGCCCGTCAGTTCTGCTCCCGCGGGCATTTCGCCCGTCAGTTCTGCTCCCGCGGGCATTTCGCCCGTCAGTTCTGCTCCCGCGGACATTTCGCCCGTCAGTTCTGCTCCCGCGGGCATTTCGCCCGTCACTTCTGCTCCTGCGGGCATTTCGCCCGTCACTTCTGCTCCCGCGGGCATTTCGCCCGTCAGTTCTGCTCCCGCGGGCATTTCGCCCGTCAGTTCTGCTCCCGCGGGCATTTCGCCCGTCAGTTCTGCTCCTGCGGGCATTTCGCCCGTCAGTTCTGCTCCCGCGGGCATTTCGCCCGTCAGTTCTGCTCCCGCGGGCATTTCGCCCGTCAGTTCTGCTCCCGCGGGCATTTCGCTCGTCAGTTCTGCTCCCGCGGGCATTTCGCCCGTCAGTTCTGCTCCCACGGGCATTTCGCCCGTCACTTCTGCTCCCGCGGGCATTTCGCCCGTCACTTCTGCTCCCGCGGGCATTTCGCCCGTCCGTTCTGCTCCCGCGGGAAATTCGCCCGTCCGTTCTGCTCCCGCGGGAAATTCGCCCGTCTGTTCTGCTCCCACGGGCGTTTCGCATCTTCCCCACGCTTCTGCCGCCCCCCCCTCCCCCCTTTTTTTCCCCCTTCCCCCTCGCTTCCTCCTCCTACGGGCCATCCAGCCCTCCTCCCCCTTCCCCCCTCGCGTCCTCCTCCTACGGGCCATTCAGCCCTCCTCCCCCTCCCCCCCCCTTCCCCCTCTCCCTCCTCCTCTCCCTCTCCCCCCCCCCCCTCAGCAGCAGCAGCAGCCGAACCAGCAGCAGCAGCGGCAGCAGCGGCAGCACCAGCCGCAGCAGCAGCAGCAGCAGCAGCAGCTGCATCCTCCCTTCCCCCTCTCCCTCCTCCTCTCCCTCTCCCCCACCCCCCGGCAGCAGCAGCTGCACCCTCCCTTCCCCCTCCCCCTCCTCCTCTCCCTCTCCCCCCCCCCCCCCCCAGCAGCAGCGGCGGCAGCAGCGGCAGCAGCAGCTGCACCCTCCCTTCCCCCTCTCCCTCCTCCTCTCCCTCTCCCCCCCCCTCCTCAGCAGCAGCAGCAGCAGCGTGAGGTGCGCAGCGGCAGCAGCGGCAGCGGCAGAAGGAGTGCAGCGGCAGCAGCAGCATCAGTAGCAGCAGCAGGAGGAGGAGTGCAGCAGCAGTAGCAGCAGCAACCCCCCCCCCCCCTTGGCCGCCGCAGGTCCACCCGCCGTCGCCCATCATGGCTGCTACCCCCTCTGCCCCTCCCCCCCCTCCTCGCTGGACTGGTGTTACCCCTCGCCCCTCCCTCATGCACATTTCGACCCTCCCCTCCTTCCTCCCTGCTCATCTCCGCCTACTCACCCCTTCCCCCCCTCCCCAGCTGCAGCGTTTTCGGCAGCTTCAACAGCAGCAGCCACAGTTTCTCCGGCCACAGCCGCCATTGATTCTCCAGTCGCAGCAACCACAGCGGCAGCAATGCTACCAGCAGCAGCAGCAGCAGCCACAGCTGCAGTGGTGCTTCCAGCAGCAGCAGCAACCACAATTTCCCCAGCAGCAGCCGCAGCGGCAGCAGTGCCTCCAGCAACAGCAGCGGCCACAGTTTCTCCCACCGCAGCAGCCACAGCAGCAACAGTCCTTCCAACAGCCGCGGCAGCCACAGTTTCTCCAGCAGCAGCCGCAGCGACAGCAGTGCTTCCAGCAGCAGCATCTGCCGCTGTATCCCCCTTCTCTCCATGAGACGTATCTCCAGTACTCTGCGTCACCCCCTTCTCCTTCCTCCCGCACCCTGGACTTCGTCCTTGACAGTGGAGCCACCGAAACTGCATTGAAAGACGCTGGCACCCTCACCCCCCTTCCACTTCCCACCCAGGTTCATGGTGCCGACTCCAGTTTTTCCATCCCCTGCACTCACCTCTCCACCCTTCCTTGCACCGCTTTCCCGTCTGGTACAGTCACAGGTCTCCACATCCCCACCCTTCGCAATAACCTCCTCTCCCACCGTGAGCTCCAAGGCGTTGATATTACCGCCATTTACCCTGGATTTGATTCCTACTGTGATCTCTACCACACCGCCTCTGGTCGCTTCCTCCTGCGCATTCCCCTTTGCCCTCGCACTCGACTTTATACGCTCCGCACACCCCGTCCCTCGTTCTGTCACGTCACCACCCGTGCTGGTACTTCCACCGGTCCCCTTCCCCCTCTCCCTCCCCCTCCCCCTCCCCCCCTGTATCCTCCTCCTCTACCCCATCCCCCTCCTCCTCCCCCCCCACCTCTTCCCCCACCCCTTCCCCCTCCTCCTCTACTACCCTCTCCCACCCTGCAGTGCTCTTGCATCACAGACTCGGCCATCCCAACTTCGCTGCACTTCGCTCCTCCGTTACCTCTCGCCTCCTTAACAGCCTTCCTCCCACATTACCTCCCCTCCCCTCCTCCCCTGCTCCTCCATGCCCATCCTGCATTCATGGCAAGCTCAAACAGTCCCCCCATCACAGTCATCCCACATTCGCTGCCGCCCCCATTGACCTTGTTCACATGGATCTCTGGGGCCCTTATCCTATCCGCTCCCGTCAGGGGCATCGGTACATGCTCGTGCTCGTCGACGACCACAGTCGTTACTCCACCGTCTTCTTTCTTCACACGAAAGATCAGGTGCCGGCTGTGGTCATCAACTGGGCTGAGCAGTGTCGCACTCACTTCAAACGCCCCATCGGCCGCCTTCACTCTGACGGTGGGGGTGAGTTCATCAATCATACCCTTTCCACTTACTGCAACACATACGGCATTCAGCAGACCTCCACCCTCCCCCACTCCCCTCAGCAAAACGGCATCGCTGAGAGTCGCATCCGTGAGATCACCAAGATTGCTCGCTGCCTTCTTGCTCACGCCTCCACCCCTCCCTCCCTCTGGAGCTATGCCCTCCTGCATGCCGCCCTCCTCCTCAATCTCCGCTCCCACCCTCAGCATCCCTCCTCCTCCCCCACAGAACTCTGGTCCCAGGCCAAGCCCGACGCTGCCGGCCTTCGTGTTTGGGGGTGCAAGGCGTTCGTCCTCATTCCACCGGCCGATCGCTCCCGCGCGGCTGGAAAGCTCGCCCCTCGTGCCCTGGAGTGCGTCTACCTCGGGCACAATCGCGATTCCCCAGGCTACCTGTTCCTCCACCCTCCCACCAATCGCCTCATCCGCAGCATTGACGTCGTCTTCGACGAGTCCATTCCCTACTACTCCACTCCTCCTCCTGACCCTCTCCCTCCTCCCACTCGCCCCCTCGCTTGGACCGACACCGTCCTCCCGCCTCTTCTCCCTCCAGCGCCTCTCCTCCCGCCTGTCGCCGCTCCGCTCCCGCCTTCCTCCTCTGCCGACGTCTATGACCCTGCCGCACCGGCCTCCCCGGCCCATTCAGCTGCACCCGCTCCCTCCTCTCCCTCCTCCTCTCATTCTCCCCCTTTTCCGCAGCAGCTGCAACAGCAGCCGGATCAGCAGCACCAGCAGCAGCAGGGGGAGCAGCATCCGCAGCGGCCGGGGCAGCAGCAGCAGCAACGGCCGGGTCAGAACCAGCAGCAGCAGCAGCCGGGTCAGCAGCAGCAGCAGCAGCAGCAGCAGCAGCAGCAGCAGCAGCAGCAGCAGCAGCAGCAGCAGCAGCAGCAGCAGCAAGGGCAGCAGCAGGGGCAGCAGCAGCAGGGGCAGCAGCATCAGCAGCAGCCGGGTCAGCAGCAGCAGGTGCAGCAGCCGCAGCAGCAGCCGGGGCAGCAGCATCAGCATCGGCCGGGGCAGCAGCAACAGCAGCAGCCGCAGCAGGGACTGCAGCAGCAGCAAGGGCAGCAATTACAGCAGCACCAGCAGCAGTAGCAGCGACGTGCAACTTCCCGCTCCTCCCCTTTCCTCCTCCCTCGCATGCATACGCGCTCCGTGGACAAAATCCTTGGTGCCCCTCCCCCCGCCTCCATTCAACTCCTCGAGGACTCCCATGAGGAGTTCCTCAACATTCGGCAACACACACCTTTCCTTGCCTCCCTCTACCTTGACTTCCTCGGCTTTCCCGTCCTTGGCGCCACCTCCACCCCCACCATCTTCACTCCCACCACCTTCCAAGAGGCCATCACCTGCCCTGACGCGGACAAATGGATCGCGGCGATCTTTCTGGAGTGCGAGGCATTCATTCGCAACGACTCCTTCATCGATGTCCCCCTCCCAGCCGACGCCAACCTCGTTGAGGGCAAGTGGATCTTTCGGGTGACGCAGCTTCCGGGTGAGGAGCCGGTCTACAAGGCACGCTACTGCGCCAAGGGTTTCACGCAGACTTGGGCTGAGGATTACTGGTTTACCTTCGCCCCCACCGCCAAGCCGCCCACCCTTCGCACCGTCCTCGACATTGGTGCGCGCGACAACATGGAGATCTGCTCCGTGGACGTCTCCAACGCCTTCCTGCAGGGTGACCTGCACGAGCGCATTTTTCTCCGGCGGCCCCCTGGGTTCCACGCAGCCTTTCCTGAAAACACTGTGTGGCAGCTGCGTCGCCCTGTCTATGGTTTGAAGCAGGCGCCTAGGGAGTGGCATGCGAAGCTGTCTGCCACCTTGGGGTCCCTCGGCTTCTCTGCTTCGCACTCTGACGCCAGCCTCTTCATTCGCTCCTCCCCTCGCCGCTTTTTCATTTTGGTGTACGTGGACGACATGATCCTGCTTTCTGACTCCAAGGCTGACATGGAGCAGATGAAGCTGTCCCTGCAGCAGCGTCTCAAATGCAAGGACCTCGGCGACCTTACGCACTACCTGGGCATGACCATCACGCGCAACCGCCCTGCTCGCACCATCACCCTCTCCCAGTCCCATTACATCGGCCAGGTCTTGGAGAAGTTCGAGATGGCACAGGCCAGTCTCACGGCCACCCCCCTCCCTTTTGGCCACCAACTTGCCCCACCCACCTCTCCCTCCTCCTCCTCTCGCCCTTATGCTGAGCTTGTTGGGTCGCTGATGTACGCAATGATGTGCACCCGCCCGACCTCGCCTACCCCATCAGCGTGCTCGCTCGCTTTGTTGGCACTGGTCGCCACACGGAGGTGCACTGGAAAGCTGCCAAGAGGGTCCTCCGCTACCTTCGCGGCACCAAGAACCACGCCCTCACTCTTGGTGGCCCCTCCCCTCCCCTGCTTTCGGGCTTCAGCGACTCCTCCTGGGCTGACTCGCAGCCGGACCGCCGCTCCTCTCAGGGCTACGGCTTCACCCTCGGCAGCGGCCTTGTCAGCTGGCGCTCCACGCGCTCCTCCTCCGTCTCTCTCTCCACCTGCGAGGCCAAGCTCTACGCTGGCACCATGGCCGCTCAAGAATCCCGCTGGCTCTGCTTTCTTCTTGCTGAGCTTGGCGCCCCTCAGCCCTGCCCCACCCTCTGGTGTGACAACGCCAGCACCATCCATCTCACTCAGGACCCCGTCTACCACGCCCGCTCCAAGCACATCGAGCTGCGCTATTTCTTCATCCGCGAGCTCGTCCAGCGCGGCCTTCTTGCAGTACGCAAGATTGCTGCCGAGGCCAACTTGGCCGACCTCTTCACCAAGGCCCTCCTTCGCCCTGCGCACTCTGCTCTCCTCCGCCTCATCGGCCTTGCTCCACCGGGCGCCCCTTGATTCAGGGGTTGTCCCCTTCTTGTCTTAGCATGCTAAGGGGTTGTGTTAGAAATGTATGTATAGCATGCTAAGTATAAAAAGGGATGGTGCTACACCCAACTTTGGGTGTAGCTTGCTTTGTAGGTCTACACCAAACTTTGTGGTGTAGACTTGCAAGTTGGGGTGCCAATCCAACCCACAAGTGTTGGAGCCCCCAAGTGCAAGTTGGGTACCCCCTCTTTGCAACCCACAAGTTGGGTGCCCCCTCCTTGCAACCCATATGGTCCTTGTTGCAAGTTGGGTGCCCCCTCCTTGCAAGTTGCCATAGGGACTGCCCAACCACCCAACTTACTCCCTTCCCTTCCAAGCTCCTCTTGCATCCTATGTATTCTCCCTTCTTCCCTAATCAACGAAATCATTCACTTCACAATTTTCACACGGATGAATGAACGGATGAATGAACGGATGAATGAACGGATGAATGAACGGATGAATGAACGGCCTACCATGCCAAACCCTAGCCATCCCTCCTTTCCCCTCCCTCCCACCGTTGATCACACCTTAGCTATTCCTCCCAGCAGAATAACAGCCGTGGATTCATCTCCCAGCCCTTCGATCCCAGCCGTTGATGCCTCCACGTTGGTGGCCTTGCTGTCGTTGATCCACGCACGATCCTGACCGTCCACAACCACTGCAGGGCGGAGGGTGGGCGGAGGAAGAAAGGCGAGAAGGAGGAAGGTAAGTGAGAAAGAGATATGCTCACCCAGCAGCCCTCAGCCTGATTCCCAAATCCCAACAGTCTCACTCAGTCACTCACTCACTCACTCACTCACTCACTCTCGCACTCACTCACTGACTCTTGCTCGCTCACTCACTCACTCACCCAGCTCCATGCGGTGTGGTGGTGGCTGCAACACCTTCACTGCCCTCTGCACCCCTTCCAACCGCACTCCACTGTTCTCCATGCCCAGCGCCAGGCACAGCAGCGCCGCTACAGCCGCATTCTCGGCATTGTGCCTGCCCACAGCCTGTAACGCGGATAGATCCAGAGCCAGCACACGGGAATGGTCTCCCGTGCTGCTGCCGTGCCCCCTGCTGCTCTCCTTGCCCTCCCTGCTGCTGTCAGCACCGTTGCTTGTTCTGGAGAGTGGCAGCTGCAGCAGAGCGGTTCTCTCAGCATGGTTCACAGTGCACCCGGGTAGCTGGCCCAGCCATGCCATGCTGGGGTGTCCCCCTGCCTCCCCTGCTAGCTGCATGAGCAGAGGATCACCTGTTTCAAGGTGGGTGAGTGGGACAGAAGGAGCAGAGGCAGAGGGGAAGTGCACTGGTTGGTTCTCTCACCATGCGGATATATTTTGAGCTGCTTCTTGGGGAAAAAAAGTTTCACGAACGACGTGGTACAAGCCAAGGGGCAACAGCAGCGCAAGGCACCTATAGCACAATAATTAGCAGCATAAGAACTGAAAAACTCGCGAACCAAACAAATTGTGCAAGAGCAGCTCTGAGGTCGGAAATAAAAGACTCACAAATAAACTTGGACAGCTCGGTGCTCTCACCATACGAGCTGCTTGGGGAATAAACGGATCAAAAACAAAAGAAAAGAAGAAGCATCCGAAGCAGAGTAACGATCGAGGAATCGAAATCAGAATCAGAAGCAGGATCATGCACACCTGATGGAATGATTGCCACGTCAGACTCCCCCATGTGCGCAAATAGACGACACTTTGCCGCCCCGTAGCTCTCCATGCTGCCGTGCCTCTCCAGGTGGTCCGGCGTGAGGTTCAGAATGACTGCAGCCTTGGGACAGAACCTTCCAGGCAACTCCATCTGGTAGCTGCTCACCTCCACCACTGCTGCCTGTACAGGGGGGAAACAGTGGGCGCGGGATGGGCGGAGATATGGGCAGCAGGGGCGAACAGGGGTGATGGTGAGCAAAAGTGGGAAATGCAGGCAGAGGTGGGCGGGTGGGCAGCAGTCAAGTTGGTAGCTGCTTACCTCCACCACTCGTGCCTGCACGGGGAAAAAGTGTGGTGGGCGGGATGGGCGGAGAGAAGAGAAGCAGAGACGAACAGGGGTGGTGGGAAGAGCTAGGAGGTGAGTTAGTTGGAAATGCAGGCGGGGGTGGGCATGGTAGCTGCTTACCTCCACCAATGCTGCCAATACGGTGAGCGGGTACGAGTGTTGGCGGAAGAGCAGGGTGGGAGTGGAGGTGGGGAGATGAGAGGATGGGTGAGACGAGATGAGATGGGTGGAGAAGGGGAGATGAGAGGATGTGTTGGGATGGATTGATGGGAGAGGTGCACAAGTGAAACAAGGGGAGGGGGAGGTGTCGAGTGAGAAACATGGGGATGGAGTGGAGGGTCTGGCATCTGTTCAACTCCACCACACCACTGCATCCTGTAGTGAATAATTATTACTTGTTTGCTCACATCTGCTGCTACAGCTACAACCACACCTGCTGCTATAAATAATCACACCTGGAAGGGCTTGGAGCTGCCAGTGTGACCACGCTGTGACGATGTGACAAATTCGAGGGCGGCCAGTGAGAGGGGCGTGCCCAGATTGCCGCCCACAAACGTGTGGATTCCAATGGACTCGAGAATCTGAGCAGGGAACACGAAGGGGGCGTGAAGGGTGAGAAGGTGAGACGAGGCTGCCACTGCAAGTGAGAGGGGCGCGCCCAGATTGCCGCCCACAAACGTGTGGATTCCAATGGACTCGAGAATCTGAGCAGGGAACACGAAGGGGGCGTGAAGGGTGAGAAGGTGAGACGAGGCTGCCACTGCCAGTGAGAGGGGCGCGCCCAGATTGCCGCCCACAAACGTGTGGATTCCAATGGACTCGAGAATCTGAGCAGGGAACACGAAGGGGGCGTGAAGGGTGAGAAGGTGAGACGAGGCTGCCACTGCCAGTGAGAGGGGCGCGCCCAGATTGCTGCCCACAAACGTGTGGATTCCAATGGACTCGAGAATCTGAGCAGGGAACACGAAGGGGGCGTGAAGGGTGAGAAGGTGAGACGAGGCTGCCACTGCCAGTGAGAGGGGCGCGCCCAGATTGCCGCCCACAAACGTGTGGATTCCAATGGACTCGAGAATCTGAGCAGGGAACACGAAGGGGGCGTGAAGGGTGAGAAGGTGAGACGAGGCTGCCACTGCCAGTGAGAGGGGCGCGCCCAGATTGCCGTCCAGATTGCCGCCCACAAACGTGTGGATTCGAATGGACTCGAGAATCTGAGACGGGAACAAGAAATGGGCATCAAATGGAAAATGGGAGGAAGGGCGAACAGGGGTGAAAGGGGAAGAAGCTCAAGAGGGGAAACAAAAGGAGGGGAAATACCCATACAGATGGCCAGGGAAGAGATAATCAGAGGAGGCATCAGTATGTGTATATTATAAAGAGGTCATTCGGAAGGCATTCTGAGGAGGCACCTCTCAGGGGAGGGAGATAGCAAGGGGAGACACTGGCTGATTCCTCCTCTTGCTATCTCACTCTCCTTATTGACTCCCAAGAACCACCGTGCACTACACACTACTACACTAACCTCACATTCCACGTCAGCACCTGCCACGTCATCATCACCTGGCCTGCAAAAGTGGCGACAGTGGATTTGCCGTTGGTTCCTGTGACGGCAGCAATGGGCAGTCCAGGTGGCAGGCTGTCATAGGCGAATGCCAGCTCAGACAGCATTGGCACGCCCTGAAACGTGTGTGGGAGGGGGAGGAGGAAGGAGGGGAGGAAAGGGCGGACAAGGAGAGGGGGAGGGGGAGAACAGAGGAGGTGGGTGCGCAATTTTGGACTGAGACTACAAGCAACGGTTGGGTTGAGGCAAACAGGACTGATAGGGAGAGCAGGCGCATTTTGCTCCTCACCACTATACATGGCGAGACGAGAGAGGCGCGAGGCGAGAAGAGAGAGGCGAGAGAGAAAAGAGAGGATTGTCTTTTCTTCTGAGGCACGTGGTGGAAGCTCGTACCCGAGAAAGCGAGTTGACTTTTGAGTCGACTCAAAAGTCACACGTGGGAGCTCATACCTGAGAAAGCGAGTTGACTTTTGAGTCGACTCAAAAGTCACACGTGGGAGCTCATACCTGAGAAAGCGAGTTGACTTTTGAGTCGACTCAAAAGTCACACGTGAGAGCTCGTACCCGAGAAAGCGAGTTGACTTTTGAGTCACCTCAAAAGTTACACGTGCGAGCTCATACCTGAGAAAGCGAGTTGACTTTTGAGTCGACTCAAAAGTCACACCTGAGAGCTCGTACCCGAGAAAGCGAGTTGACTTTTGAGTCGACTCAAAAGTCACACGTGGGAGCTCATACCTGAGAAAGCGAGTTGACATTTGAGTCGACACAAAAGTCACACGTGAAAGCTCATACCCGAGAAAGCGAGTTGACTTTTGAGTCGACTCAAAAGTCACACGTGGGAGCTCATACCCGAGAAAGCGAGTTGACTTTTGAGTCGACTCAAAAGTCACACGTGGGAGCTCATACCTGAGAAAGCGAGTTGACATTTGAGTCGACTCAAAAGTCACACGTGAAAGCTCATACCCGAGAAAGCGAGTTGACTTTTGAGTCGACTCAAAAGTCACACGTGGGAGCTCATACCTGAGAAAGCGAGTTGACATTTGAGTCGACTCAAAAGTCACACGTGAAAGCTCATACCCGAGAAAGCGAGTTGACTTTTGAGTCGACTCAAAAGTCACACGTGAGAGCTCGTACCCGAGAAAGCGAGTTGACTTTTGAGTCGACTCAAAAGTCACACGTGGGAGCTCATACCTGAGAAAGCGAGTTGACATTTGAGTCGACTCAAAAGTCACACGTGAAAGCTCATACCCGAGAAAGCGAGTTGACTTTTGAGTCGACTCAAAAGTCACACGTGAGAGCTCGTACCCGAGAAAGCGAGTTGACTTTTGAGTCACCTCAAAAGTCACACGTGCGAGCTCATACCTGAGAAAGCGAGTTGACTTTTGAGTCGACTCAAAAGTCACACCTGAGAGCTCATACCCGAGAAAGCGAGTTGACTTTTGAGTCGACTCAAAAGTCACACGTGAGAGCTCGTACCCGAGAAAGCGAGTTGACTTTTGAGTCGACTCAAAAGTCACACGTGGGAGCTCATACCTGAGAAGGCGAGTTGACTATTGAGTCGACTCAAAAGTCACACGTGAGAGCTCGTACCCGAGAAAGCGAGTTGACTTTTGAGTCACCTCAAAAGTCACACGTGCGAGCTCATACCTGAGAAAGCGAGTTGACTTTTGAGTCGACTCAAAAGTCACACCTGAGAGCTCGTACCCGAGAAAGCGAGTTGACTTTTGAGTCGACTCAAAAGTCACACGTGGGAGCTCATACCCGAGAAAGCGAGTTGACTTTTGAGTCGACTCAAAAGTCACACGTGGGAGCTCATACCTGAGAAAGCGAGTTGACATTTGAGTCGACACAAAAGTCACACGTGAAAGCTCATACCCGAGAAAGCGAGTTGACTTTTGAGTCGACTCAAAAGTCACACGTGGGAGCTCATACCCGAGAAAGCGAGTTGACTTTTGAGTCGACTCAAAAGTCACACGTGGGAGCTCATACCTGAGAAAGCGAGTTGACATTTGAGTCGACTCAAAAGTCACACGTGAAAGCTCATACCCGAGAAAGCGAGTTGACTTTTGAGTCGACTCAAAAGTCACACGTGGGAGCTCATACCTGAGAAAGCGAGTTGACATTTGAGTCGACTCAAAAGTCACACGTGAAAGCTCATACCCGAGAAAGCGAGTTGACTTTTGAGTCGACTCAAAAGTCACACGTGAGAGCTCGTACCCGAGAAAGCGAGTTGACTTTTGAGTCGACTCAAAAGTCACACGTGGGAGCTCATACCTGAGAAAGCGAGTTGACATTTGAGTCGACTCAAAAGTCACACGTGAAAGCTCATACCCGAGAAAGCGAGTTGACTTTTGAGTCGACTCAAAAGTCACACGTGAGAGCTCGTACCCGAGAAAGCGAGTTGACTTTTGAGTCGACTCAAAAGTCACACGTGGGAGCTCATACCTGAGAAAGCGAGTTGACTTTTGAGTCGACTCAAAAGTCACACGTGGGAGCTCATACCTGAGAAAGCGAGTTGACTTTTGAGTCGACTCAAAAGCCACACGTGAGAGCTCGTACCCGAGAAAGCGAGTTGACTTTTGAGTCGACTCAAAAGTCACACGTGGGAGCTCATACCTGAGAAAGCGAGTTGACTTTTGAGTCGACTCAAAAGTCACACGTGGGAGCTCATACCTGAGAAAGCGAGTTGACATTTGAGTCGACTCAAAAGTCACACGTGAAAGCTCATACCCGAGAAAGCGAGTTGACTTTTGAGTCGACTCAAAAGTCACACGTGAGAGCTCGTACCCGAGAAAGCGAGTTGACTTTTGAGTCGACTCAAAAGTCACACGTGGGAGCTCATACCTGAGAAAGCGAGTTGACTTTTGAGTCGACTCAAAAGTCACACGTGGGAGCTCATACCTGAGAAAGCGAGTTGACTTTTGAGTCGACTCAAAAGTCACACGTGAGAGCTCGTACCCGAGAAAGCGAGTTGACTTTTGAGTCGACTCAAAAGTCACACGTGGGAGCTCATACCTGAGAAAGCGAGTTGACTTTTGAGTCGACTCAAAAGTCACACGTGGGAGCTCATACCTGAGAAAGCGAGTTGACTTTTGAGTCGACTCAAAAGTCACACGTGGGAGCTCATACCTGAGAAAGCGAGTTGACTTTTGAGTCGACTCAAAAGTCACACGTGGGAGCTCATACCTGAGAAAGCGCCTGGCTTATCGTGGGTTCTGAAAGCGGTACACCAGGAGACAGGACGACAAGGGAGGTGGAGAGGAGGAGAGGGAGGGGGTGGGGAACCAGATGAAGGTAAAGGCGAGAGGCTTGGGGACAAGAGGAGTTGACGGGAGAGGAGGATTGAAGTGTCTTCTGAGGCAAGTGAGAGCTCGCACATGAGACAGCGCCTGGCTTATTGTGGGTTCTGAGAGCAGTACACTAAGGACTTTTGAGACGGCTCAAAATCTCATACCTGAGACAGCGCCTGGCTTATTGTGGGCTCTGAAAGTGGTACTCCAGGAGACAGGACGACGAGGGAGGCAGAGAGGAGGAGGGGGAGGTGGTGCGGACCCAGATGGGTGGAGAGGCGGGAGATGAGGGGGGGAGAGGAGGTGGGTTCTGGAAGCTCATCCCATACACTTGGATCGTCCTGAAGGGTGGGAGAGAGAGGAGAGGGAGGAGGAGGGGGAGGGGGTGGGGACCCAGATGGGTGGAGAGGCGAGAGATGAGGGGAGGAGAGGAGGCGGGGCCTGGAAGCCCATCCCATACACTTGGATCGTCCTGAAGGGTGGGAGAGAGAGGGGAGAGGGGAGAGACAAAAACTAAGTGCATGAGGCGAGCGGAAGGGGCAGGAGAGGCAGGGTATGGAAGCCCATCCCATACGCTTGAATCGTCCTGAAAGGTGGGCGAGAGAGGAGAGAGGAGAAATAAGGGGTTACATGTCATGATCAGATGGTACAGGAACTGCATGAGGTGAGGAAAGAGGGGGGGGGGGAACCCATCCCAGACACGTGGATCGTCCTGAAGGATGAGTCAAATTATGGATGAGACAAATTATGGATGAGTCAAATTATGGATGAGTCAAATTATGTATGAGACAAATTATGGATGAGTCAAATTATGGATGAGACAAATTATGGATGAGTCAAATTATGGATGAGACAAATTATGGATGAGTCAAATTATGGATGAGTCAAATTATGGATGAGTCAAATTATTAAGCATGATAATGTAGCCCCAACTTATGCCATACCATTGTGACCCGCCATTTGGCTATGCTGCTAAAATTTAGTGCTAGAGAAAAGCATTCATCACAGTCGAAGTGACGACTCAGACATTTGCCTATGCACCCTAAAACTCTAAATCCGGTGCCTTGTGGAGATGCCCGAAACCCTAAACCCTTAAAAATCCGAAGGCAGCAGCTCCCACACCCCGCTAAGCACACAACCCAAATGCCACATCCCCAAGTAACCCTAAACCCACATGTCATTGTGTTGTCAGCAGCAACGACAACACACACACCTCTAGTGCCTTGGCGTCTGTCCTCTGGTCCAGTCCAACCACAGCAGCAGCACCCCTTGCTAGAGCACACATTCCCAACCAGCCCTAACCCCACATAGCATGGTGCTGTCAGCAGCAAGCAACAACACACGCACCTCTAGTGCCTTGGCGTCTGTCCTCTTGTCCAGGCCGACCACAGCAGCAGCACCCCTCGCTAGAGCCAGGCGCGCTGCTGCTCTGCCTGATGCTCCCAGACCCACCACCTGGTAGGAGGAAGAGTGGAGGGTGGGAGGGGCATGGGCGAGGGAGGAGCGGGCATGAGAAGAGTGAGCGATTCTGAAACGACATTCCAAGGCTCTGCCTGATGCTCCCAGACCTACCACCTGAGAGGAGGAAGAGTGGTGGGCGGGGGGGAGGAGTAACAAGAGTGCAAAGTGTGAGAGAGTTTTGAAACCACATGTCATGACTCTGCCTGATGCTCCCACCAGACCTACCACCTGGGAGGATGAAGAGGTGAAAGGACACGGGCAAGGGATGAGTGTGAAATGTGTAAGAGGGTTTTGAGACGACTTGTCACGAGTGTGCCTGATGCATGGGCGAGGGAGGAGAATGAAACGTGTGAGAGAGTTTTGAATCGACGTCGTACGCACGACTCTTGCCTGATGCTCCCAGGCCTGCCTACCACCTGAGATGAGGAAGAGGGGAGGGCGGGAGGAACGAGCATGAAAAGTGTGTGGGAATTTTTAGGCCACATCTCAAGACTCTGCCTGATGCTCCCAGGCCTACCACTGTACTGTACCACCTGAGAGGAGGGAGAGTGGTGGGCGGGAGGAGCATGGGCGAGGGGGGAGGAATGTGAGAGGGAGGAGTGTGAGAGGGGGGAGCGTGAGATGGAGCAGTGTGAGTAGGAGAGCTTGGCGGAGGAACCCGAAAGAAAGGCTGAGAGAAAGAAAGTGCAATGATTCAGGGATGCTTGAGGGACAACGAGAAGGGCACGGATTCAGAGAGGATTGAAGAATCCTAGGGAATCCTGATGGAAGGAACAGCAGCTATGACTCGAAAGTCCAGCAGCTTACAACGATCGTCTGTCCGGCCAAGTCTTCGGTCGGAACGTCACTTGTAACGGCCGATTCCGCTGCTACCGATCCGCCTGCAGACGCAACCACCGCCCGCCGTTGATCATGCGTCACCATGGTTGTCGGGGCGTTGTCGGAATTTGTGACAGTATCGAAGGGGGAGCCGTCCGTTCCTGTAACGAATGCGTTCTTCATGCTTGCGAACTCAGAGGAGGCAAAACCAGGGAGGCTTCTTAAAACACGATTCCGCCGTCGCGTCCGCTTGGTCGCTGGCAGGACAGCCAACACTGGAACTGAGTCTCTACTCGAAGCAGCGTTAAAGGGAGAAACGGGAGGGATTAACAGCTGGGTGGTTGGAATCGCGATCCGGAGATAAGCAGCCATAAAGGCGGGTGGGCCAGGTGGCAATGTGCTAAAGTTTTCCGAATGCGCAAGAGCTATTCAGGCTTTTAACTGAGCGGGGACGGAAGCGGGGAGGCGAGGAGGCGAGGAGGGGCGGAGGCGAGAAGGGGCGGAGGCGGGGAGGCGACGAGGAGGCGCGGAGGCGAGGAGGCGAGGAGCGACGAGGCGGAAAGCCGAGGCGAGGAGGCGCGGAGGCAAGATGGCGCGCCTGCGAGGAGGCGAGCCGCGTACCTGCGTGTGTTGAGGAGCAATCTATCTGTGTGGTTCCTACATCTACAGGCTAGTAACGTACCATAGGCCACATGATGCTATTTCGCGAAATGCTGTTTCGCTTCAAGTTGGCTGCATCAGCCGTGTTAGGAAGTATTGACTCCAAACTCTCAACTCACTAGTATACAGCGTAGCAGATAATATGGCAAGCAAAATCTAATCAGACCATTCCTACCGGAATATCCACCTCGATCCATGGGCCATCGTTCACATCTAACCGCTGACAAACCTACATAATGTACATATTTACTTCATGGCAAATACTTTTTGCCATGCTGGACGAGAGGAGATTCGCTCCCACCACTTGTTCACATTAGGCTGTGATGTTATGACATCAGAATCGCCGGACACCCAGAGCATGGCAGTGTACGGCAGGTGGACCAGATCCGCCAGGGAAAAGGAGGAGCCAGCCAGATAGTCATTCGAAGCCAAGCGTGCTTCGTACACATCTAGGACTTGAGAAAGCTGTATTTTGACGGCGGAATGGGGGGGAGAGGGGGGGGAGGGGGAGGGGGGGGGGGGTGGGGAGCGGGGAGGGAGAGGGGAGGGGGGAGGAGGGGAGGAATCGAACAAAAAAAGAGTAAGGCAATGAGGTGGTGTATTGCATAAGGCAGACAGGTACAGAGAGAAGATAGGGCAAGACGGGTTCATGGTACGGACATGCCAAGGAAGAAAAGAGGGACAAAGGAAAGCCAAATGGTGTATGGCCAAGATTATGAGCAAGTTCTCCAAAAGAACATACCTTTGCCTTGTGTTCTGCTACCTTGACCTCGTCTGGGGCCAGTCCCTTCCTGGGCTTGAAAATCTTCTCAGCTATCAACCCGGAGATAGGGGGGTTGTAGTTCTGAGACTCCACTTCCAGCCACAAATTCACCAGGGCACGCTCCTGTTGCACGCATGCAAGTAGGGTGAATGGAAGAATCTTACAACGGGTGCCTCAGTCTAGCGCGAGTGACAACTACAGCATCGTGTGAAGTGGAGTACCAAGGCTGAAGAATAAGAAAAGGCTCTGAACGGCGAGAGGGTCTTGCCTTAAGGTTGGAACCGAGGAGGTTCGTGCCTTGTTCAGAGTACTTGTCAGCGACATATCGTGCAATAGCTCGGGATTCTGTGGCGGAAAAACGCAGGCATGAAACTTACGAAAGCGTCACAAGCGAGCATGCAGGCATCATCGACGAGACTGGAAAAACGACATTGGACAACATGTTTCCTCTTCCTGCTTTGATTTCTACTTACCGAAGAGCTCAACATCCTCGTCCTCCAGCACAGGAATGACGCCGAAAGGCTGCACGGAGGAGAACAAATATGTTTCAATAAAATATAAACGCGTTGATTTGCAGGAACCATTGAACCTAAAATGTGCGGTTTGCGTGATGCCGCGGGCTTGTTCTACCACGGACCTGTTTCTTCTTGAACTCGGCCGATTTCTGCTCGCCCTTGGACAAATCTACTGTCACGAATTCGTAGTCCTGCAATGCATGTAAAGATGGCAGTTGAAGGTAAGAAAATCAACGGCGCTGCGACGTAACGTCTACCATGAAATTGTAGTCGTCGTACCGTAACATTCTTCTCTTCTAGAGCTGTAAGAACCCGTTTCGTGCAGGTCGAGAGCTTCAGACCATATATCTTGGTCTTGCTGGTGGCAGCCATGGCGTACACGCGGTTAGGAACACGCAGTGAACTAGCGAAGGGGAGAGGAGAAACGGCGATAGCACGCGAAAACGAGACGACCCAGGTAGCAGCGGCCATGGAATTTGTACATTATAAGCGCAAAGTACGTCCGTTTTGTACATCACGACATCCAGCTGTGCATTGCTGCAGTCTGCAGCAAAAGCCGTCCTCGCGGTTCCGACGTTCTAGAACCGCAGGGCATTGCTAGGAGGTTTCGGCGAAGGCAAAGCGAACATCTGCCTCCACAGCTCAGAAGTTTATCCTCTTCTAGTACGGTATAAGCTAATTTCGGATTATTGTACCAAGCAAGTTGAGTTTATTCGCTTGTATGGTAATCTGATTCCGGTATATAGAACAATTATTCCAAGCAAGTTGCGTTTTCTCTTACAGCATGTACGATTATTTCACTGATGTTGGTCTACAATTCGTGCGAGAAAATGGGATTGGTGCTACATTACTCCAAAATAAAAGGAACCTGTTGAAGGGACAGCATGAAAACATTGTTCAGATTCACTTCAAATCCTTCATCGCTTTGAATTTATCTGAACCAACTATATGTACATGCCTACTTCATGGCAAATACTTTCTGCCATGATGGACGAGAGGAGATTCTCTCCCACCATTTGTTCACGTTAGGCCGTGCTGTTATGACATCAGAATCACCACACACCCAGAGGACTGCAGTGTAGGGCAGGTGCACCAGATCCGCTAGGGAAAATGAAGAACCAGCCAGGTAGTCGTTTGCAGCCAAGTGTGCCTCGTACACATCTAGGACTTCGGAGAGCTGCAAAATGAGAGGGAATCAACGAGAGAGACATACAAGAAAATGGCTGCAAGACAGTCAGGTGCATGGAGAAGAAGGGGGAAAGGGTCACGAACAAGGATGTGGCAATGCAAAAAACAGGTAGGAAAGAGGGTCGCCTTTTAGGCTCACCTTTGCCTTGTATTCAGCTGCCTTGGCCTCGTCTGGGGCCTGTCCCCGCCTAGCCTTGTAAAACTTCTCAGCTAAAAGCCCCAAAACAGGGGGGTTGTAATTTTGAGACTCCACTTCCAGCCATAGATTCACCAGGGCACGCTCCTGTTGCACACATGCAAGACAGAGTAAAACATATAACAAGGGTGCGTCAGTTTTGCAGAGTGACAGCTTCACCACTGTGTGAAAATCCAAGAAGGAAGGTTAAAAAAAGGCACTCAATGCCGAGATGATCATGCCTTGAGAGTGGAACCGAGGAGGTTCGTGCCTTGGTCAGCGTATTTGTCTGCGACATATCGTGCAATAGCTCGGGATTCTGTTGTCAGAACATTATAGCTTATGCTGTTGTGTAGGCTATAGTGGGGTATTCCATAGGGGGTACAACCAATTAGGGTTTCATATTTGTACTCACTTCATTTCATAGTTCATTCATTCTTGTTCAAATCTTCTCATGGTATCGAGCAGGTTCCCCCTTGGGAACTGTGCTTAGGGCCCACCACATCGATTTTTTTTTTTTCCTGCCCGAAGCGCGCTCAGCCCGAGTCGCGCTCCGGGCCCTCACTTCGTCGAGCCGCCCTAGCGGCCCTGCACTGCGGCCCCGCCACCCGTCTCCGCGGCCCCGCCGCCCGTCTTCGCGGCCCCGCCGCCTCTCTCTGAGAAAAGGAGAAAGCGAATGGATGAACTATGAATGAAGTGAGTACATATAGGAAACCCTAATTGGGTTGTACCCCCTATGGGATACCCCACTATAGCCTACACAACAGCATAAGCTATATATATGTTCTGACACACCCCCATAGGCAAAGTGGGGGAGAACAAGGGGTCACAAGACCAGTCACACAAAGCACAGCAAGCTCAGGGTGGATCACAAAGTCACCACACAGTCCGAGCACAACGACAAGGCCACAAGGCCAGTTCACATGCAGGAGTGCACACATATATATATAGAGCTAGACAAGCAAGAGCAGGTATATATATGTGACAGTACAAGCAAGGTCAAGAGGAGAGCAAGTGAGGCAAGACAGGTACAAGACCCAGCTGAGTGCAGAAGCGCTGATGGTCACAAGGCGCAAGTGCCTTGGTGAACACATCAGCAGTGTTGGCCTCAGAGGCCACGTACGCAAGTCGCAACTGACCACGCTGCTGCAGCTCACGAGCAAGAAAGTAACGGAGAGCAATGTGCTTCGTTCTGTGCTCCAAGCGCTGCTCTCGACACAAGGCCAGCATGGCCTTGTTGTCTACGTACAGCACTAGAGGAGAACGAGGCGGCTCTCCAAGGTCAGTCAGCAGGTAGGTGAGCCAGCGAAGCTCCTGTGCAGCCATGGCCCCGGCGTAGATCTCAGCCTCACAACTGGAGCCGAGAACAGAGGACGAGCGTGTAGCCCGCCACGAGACAGAGCCGGAACCAAGACTGAAGGTGTAACCCTGCGACGACCGCTGCGTAGCCTGGTCGTCAGCCCAAGAAGCGTCCGCGTGCCCAGTGAGGACCACTGGACTCCGCCCTCCAAGCACTAGCCCCATGCCCGACGTACTGCACAAGTAGCGCAACACCCTCTTCGCTGCAGCCATGTGCTCTGGTCGGTGTCTCCCAGGAGCAACATAGCGTGCAAGAATGCTAAGAGGGTATGCAAGGTCAGGTCGTGTGCAGGTCATCAGGTACATGAGGCAACCAACAAGCTCTGGGTACGGGCCACTCGACTCTACGGACTCATCCGAAGGCAGAGCTGAGAGCGAGTGGCGAGTAGACAGAGGAGTGGCCTGAGGCGAGGAGTACGTGAAGCCGAAGCGCTGAAGGACCTGCTGCACCATGTGTGACTGAGTCAAGGTAATGGTGCGGCGTGCTCTGTCCCGAGTGATCTGCAAGCCAAGGTAGCTGCGCAGTTCACCCAGGTCTGTGCACGTGTGTCTCTTCTGCAGCTCGGACTTCACGTAGGCTAGTCCAGCAGTGTCAGCTGTGGCAAAGACCAAGTCGTCGACGTACACGAGGATGTAGAACGGCGGCAAAGAAGTGTCGGTGCGCAGAAACAACGACGGGTCAGCAGTAGAGGGAGCAAACCCAAGAGCCGCAAGCGTAGTCCTCAGTGTGTCGTGCCACTCACGCGGTGCCTGGCGGAGACCGTAGACTGGCCGTCGGAGGCTCCACTGGGTGCCAGGAGGGAAAGTCCCAGTGAAGCCAGGTGGACGGCGCAGCCAGATCTCCTCGTGCAGGCTACCCTGCAAGAAAGCAGTGCTGAAGTCAAGAGAGTGGAGCTCGTAGTCGCGCTGAGCGGCTATGTGCAGTAGCACCCGAAGAGTGGTCATCTTCGGGGTGGGAGAGAAGGTCTGAAATTAGTCAACTCCCTGCCGCTGACTGAAGCCACGAGCGACGTACCGCGCCTTGAAGACAGGTGGAGAGCCCGGCGGCCGCTTCACCCTGAAGATCCACATGCCACTGACGATGTTCGCCCCAGGAGGGGGAACCGCGTCAACGTAGGTGCCTGTGGACTTCCAGGACGCCATCTCTGCATCCATAGCTGCCTGCCACTGAGAGGAGTAGGGACCCTCTACGGCCTCCGCGTAAGAGCGCGGAGTCGGGATGTCTAGTGCATCCGGGTCTCCCTCAGGGGCAAGTAGTACGGACGCGAGATGAGGTGAAGCAGCAGCCAGACACTGGAACTCCTCCTGCCTGTCCTCAAGGACGTCCGTGCCAAGAGCACACTCACCCCCGACGGACGGAGGACAGACAGACGCAGACTCAGCAACAAGACCGGCAGCGTAGTCTAGACGACAGCGAGCAGCAAAGTCGACGAGCTCAGCAACAAGCGCAGACGCAGCAGTGGACTCAAAAGAGGGGTCAGTGACGACAGTAGCAAGGAGACGTGTGACAGTAGGACTAGCAGCACGAAGAGAGTCGGACTCTGGGTCGGTAAGTGCAGGAAGGGAGGACTCAGGAGGAGAAGGCAAAGGGGCACGCAGAGGAGCAGTGGACGGACGCAAAGACATCCGGTGCGTGCCAGGGACAGGAGGAGGACGCTGACGCGAACCGCGACCACTAGCGCGAGCAGCACGAACAGGCGACGCAGGACGAGACGCAGGCTCACGACGCTCAGCAAGACCTCCAGTGGGACCAGTGTAAGGAGAGGGAGCAGGAAGTGGGGAGGCGGGCTCTAACTGGGACTGTGACTGAACAGGCGGTGGACACGCTGCAGGAGGAGAAAGACCAAGAACCTGCAGTAGGAGGGGAACGAAGTACGGCCGAGGCCGCGCGGCGACTCCAGACACAGCAGGGACAGCACCCTCAGCAGCAGCACCAGCGCCAACCGCACCTCCAGCGGGAGGACCTCCAGCAGCACCAGCAGCACCCGCAGCAGGGCCACCGCCAGGAAGGACAGCAGCAGTCTCAGCACCAACACCCGCAGCAGCTCCAGCTCCAGGCGGACCCGAGGGCCCAGCAGCTCCGGGACCAGCGGCACAAGTACCCTCAGCAGCCGAAGGAGCTCCAGCTCCAGCAGTACGTCTCCAGCGGCGAGCAAACCACTCGCGCAGCTCCTGTGGAGAGAGGGGCTCCCGCCGAGGCGAAGCACCCGGAGAACCGCCAGGTCCCGCACCGCCAGACGCCACAAGGGGAGGTCCAGTGGCCGCAGGCTCCGCAGCTCCAGGCTCAGCAGCTCCAGACGCAGCACCCCCTGGCTCAGCACCCCCAGTCGCAGCACCCCCAGGCTCAGCACCCCCAGACTCCGCACCCCCAGGCGCAGCACCCCCAGTCGCAGTACCCCCAGGCTCAGCACCCCCAGACTCAGCACCCCCAGGCTCAGCACCCCCAGGCTCAGCACCCACGCGCGTAGCACCCCCAGAGTCAGCACCCCCAGGCTCAGCACCCGCAGCAGGACCAGAGTCACCAGCAACCTCGACCGGCTCGACCGCGTCTACCTGGGACACACCTGAAGGGGCAGGACCCTGAGGGGGAAGGGGGTCTACCGGGGGGGGACTTGGCACAAGGAAGTGCGGTGGCGGGGGGAGGGAAGGAGTGCGGTAGGGGAAGAGGCGGTAGAAGGGGACTGACTCGTCGAACGTGACGTCCTGGGAGGACAGAACACGACGAGAGGAGGGGTGGTAGAACTGCCAC